GTCTGGCATTTGTTAAGTATGGTTAAGTTTTCATTATGATCACTTTTGGTCACTTTCCATAGGATTTAAAAACAGAAGCCTTTTAACTCCTTCCTGAGGGCAGGGAGGTTCTGAAATCTCTGTGAAATTTGACTAGCCTTACCATTTTTGTCTGATACCTGTATGAAGTTAAGGTATAAGTAATTTCTCAAGTAGGTGATTCTGCTAAGAGAGTCAATGGCTTAAAAGTGAATTGTTGGCCCCATGCACATCTAGACTATAAAGAAAAACTGTTAATCTAGTGTTGAGCTTTTTGTTCTTTCCTGTCTCTTCCTTAGTCATTCAGTCATGTCTGACTCTTTGTGACCTCATGGGCTGTAACCCACTAGGCTCCTCTGTTCATGGGATTTTCCAGGGAAGAATACTGGAGTGGGTAGCCATTCCCTTCTCCAGGGGAATCTTCCTGATCCAGGGTTCGAACCTGGGTCTTCTGCACTGCAGGCAGATTCTTTACCATCTGAGCCCGCAGGGAAGTCTGTCTTACTCTCTGCCTTACCCTCTCTGCGGCCCCTTTTCCCTGTAGAACACTGCAAGTGTCCGCTGTTCCTGAGACAGCCATTGGTGTCATTTCCAGGTAGTCTCACACATGAAAACACCCAAGGGAAGCATTTTTAAAGTTTTTTTAGATATGGTTAATCAGCTCAGGACCGTTGTGTGAATACTGGATGACAATTTTATTAGAAGAACCTGAGAAAGTAGTTTTCGTAGGGATTGATCCTTGTTTCATTGGCTGGAGCACTCATCCCAAACCTTTTGATCCAGTTTAGTGAAACGGTTAAAGTGAACCCACTTTCAAATGGTATAGCTTAACTAGATATAATTTTAAGAGCTCATGATCAGGTATCTGTAACTTTAATATCTGTTTATTTATTTAAGTCAACTGAGATCTTTGGGCATTTACAGTGCATATTGGTATTTCGTATTTTCTGCCTGGGATTTCTTTCTTCACTTGTACGTCCAGTCCTGTGATAATCATGGTCTCTTCTGAACCTGCTGCCTCCCTGTGAAAATTTTCCTTGCTTGCATCCTAGTAGCTTCCTGTTCTGGCTCTAAGTTATGGCATAGATTGTCATCTCTACTCATCAGCTCCTCAGTTGGTGGAGAGTGAAATAGCTGTCTCTGTCCTGTAATTCTCTTAGTGTCAGGAACAGCTAATATTAACAGTTTCTCTGAATATTATAGTTCTTCTAAGCTGCTTAGAAAAAGATTGGGGTATCATTTCCTAGAGGACTCTGACATAGCTTTCCAGGGCTGTTAAACCATTTTAGTTCATTGGGAAGACGCATCAGAAGCATATTGTGAAAGTTATTCATACATGAAAGAAAGAATATCGAACTTGATGGGTTACATCATCTTTTAGATAAACTTCATTTTTCTCTGCTATCTTTTGGCCCATGTACCAGTGAAATGAAAGATTGTTATAAAACCACACTTACAGGAAAAAGGGGAAGCACTGTTTTTGTAAAAGCAACTCTAAAACATAGCTATTGAAAGAAGTTGTCTTTAAAAAATTTAGAATAGACCCATCTAAATTCTCAGTTTAAAAAAGACTTACTAATACAAATACCTAAAAGGTTTTAGATAATTGTCGATGCTATTGAATAAATGTTGGATGAGACAGCAAGGTATCTTGAAATTGGGTTATAATTTATTGTAATTATTTGTGGGATTTTGGTTTCTCGTTTTAGACAGTGTACCTCCTGCAGGCAGGAATGGGCTTCATTGCCCTCATCATAGTTGAGAGAAGACTAGAAGCTCCTGTCTTTACAGGGAAACGTGGGCTGGCTCAGCCTTTACCGGCAATTTCAGATCTGTTTGCCTATTGGTTTATTTTTACCTAATCTTTTTCAAGACTTTCAGAATCACTCTGTTATATAGCAGATGATTTTGTCTTTTTAATCTAATCTGAGGGCTTTCAATATAGAAGTATGGAGGGTTTTTTTTTCTCCTTTGCATTTAGTGTTTTGACAACAGTTTTTGTTTTAAACCTGTTGCTTTTTATGATATTCTTTTAGTTTTTAATCATTTTTGTTTACTAAATGATCTGAGATGTTTATCTTTTTCCTTGTGTTTATATATTAGTCATGATTTAATGTTATCTCTATAAGATTGAAGAATCTACTTGATGTCTAGGCGATGTAGATAGGAGTATGCTTTCTCTTTATTCTACTTCCTCTCCTTCTCATATCACCAGTGGAAGATTATATTATTATCTTTTAAATTGTTATGGTCTGTAACATTTATATTCTGGTCCACTTATTCGCACAGGTGTATAGTGTCTTTATAGTGATTTCTCTGCTTAATTCTAAGTTTATAGGATATCATACTACAGTAGTTGTTTTAAAGAAGGGCTCAAAGAAACTATGCTCCTGAGTTTTTGCGTGTTTCATATTATCTGTCAATGACCTTTATACTTGATAACTTGTTCAGATTGAACATTCTTGGTTTATATTTTCCTTTCCCAAGAACTTGGTAAATATTGCTTTATTGCCTCCTACAGTAATTTTTTTTTAAAGTCTGAGGTCAGTCATTTTTTTTAAATAGGGGAATTGATTCTTTCTTGTCCTCACCACCCCCACCCCCTAGCCCCCCCCCCCCCCCCCCCCAACACACACACACAGAAAGCTCTGTCATTAAACTCCAGAGGGTTTCTCAGGTTAAGTGCTGATCATTCTAAAGCAACTTTTCCTGGTACACAATGTACTCATTTTTACCTATATGCTTGATTTTTGCTTTACTTCAAAGAAATGTTCTTTTGTTTTATATTTGGATATTTATTGTTACATTTCTTCTTTAGGAAAGTCAACTATATCTATGTTGCATCTCCTTTAGCTCCATAACAGTACTGTTCTTTCAGATACTTAAATGTCATTGTTCTATATTTTTGTGCTTTTGGAAATGGTTTGTTTTTTCCTTCTGAGTTAATGTGAACTTCATTGTTGTAGAGTTTTATTTTTCTCTCTTCTTTTTTCGGACTTTGACTCAGCACTTTGCATTTATTTTCTGATCTTTTCTCTTGAGGCCTACTATGTCGTATCTGGATTCTTGTTTCAGAGGGGTTGTGATTTTTGAAATGATTTTTATTTAAAGAATACTATATTTTTCATAATTTTTGGCCTGATTTGTGTTATAGTCTTAAGAAATCTTCATCTGCCTTCTGCTTGTCATATTCTTTTCCTTAGTCTTTTAGTACTATTTTTATATATGTCCCAGCTGATTTTTTTTTCTACTTTTCACCTCTAATACGTATCTGAATCAGCTGTTTGATGTTCGATAGTATAGAGGAGAGTCAGTTAGACTGCAGCAAGAAGTTTGGATTTTAGACCAAGGATTTTGAACATATTTCCATGAGCATTCTACCCTAAGTATGTAGTAAACCAATTCTGTGTAAACTAGCAGTCTTTCTGGCACCAAGTGAAGCCATAAGCTCATTCTTTCTTTCTTTCTTTTTTCCCCTCCTTCCTTCTTTTCCCTCCCCTCCTGTCCCTTTCCTTTCCCCTCCCCCCTTTTTTCACTCTAGCTTTCTCTCTCTCTCTCCCTTCTCTCCCCTTCCTTTCTTCCTTTTTCCCCTAATTCTCTGCAGGGCTACTTCCACTGATAATTTCTCTACAACCATGTTTCACCCACAGCAGCTCTTGTGGAAAGATGACATGTCTGAATGCTTTCATATTCAGCTTGGCAATATCTGCCACAGTATAAAGTAAGGTTTACCGAGAGCTGCACAGCTCCTGCGTGAAACCCCGGTGGCTGTCCAAGTGAAGAAGGCCTCTCTGTCTTGGCATATCCCGCCTACGATGGTGAATGCTTCGCTGTGCTCAGGCCTGAAGTGGCTTCTGTCTCGAGCTCTCCGCTGTCTTTGTGTTGTTTTACTGTGCTTGGCAGCCACTGTGGTCTAGCTCTGTGGTTGCTTCTTTGTTTGCTGTGGTTTATGGTTGTGGTGGTTTCTAAGTGTATTAGTTATCTTTCGTTATGGAACGCAGCACCTCAAAACTTGGTAACTCAAATCAACTGCAATGTGTTACTTCTCCCAGCTCTGTTGCTTGACAGTTCTGCAGATCTCGCCTGGGTTTATTTACATGGCTTCAGTCAGCTGGTGACTCATTTGCAATGGCTGAGACAGCTGGGATATTGTGGTCTCTCTTTCCATGTGGTTTCATCCTGGCTATATTCATGGCATGGTTATCTCAGGGTTCCAGAGGGCAGGAAGCTTCAAGACCTCTCATGGCAGAGGCTAGAAAGTCTCATAGCAACTTTGCTACATTCCATTACTCGAAGCAAGTCAGAAGACCAATCCAGTTTCAAGAGGTGGCAAAGTCGTATTGTAACTGGCATATAGTTATAGAGTTATAGAAGGAATGATTAATATTTTTCCTCTATTTGGGCAAACATTGTGGTTCATTTTTTGATTTATGTTTCTTCACCCTGTTTTCATTTGGTTTAATGGTTAAGAAAGGAACAGTTTTACACTGTTGCCTTTATAAGAAGTCAGCTGTTATTAGTTTTAATGGTGATTAATATTAATATACCTTATTTATAATAATATAGCACCTTTTAATTTTTACTTACTAAAGACCATAAGGTTTAACATAAGAAATGACTCTTCTGTTTGTTGTTAATAGCTCCCAATCATAGTGCAAGGATTCTGAGACTTGAAATGGGAAAGCTTTTTCCAGTTTATATAGTATAGGATAATGAATTTTAGGCTGGAGACCAGGAAGGCAGTCTTCTGTTTCAGATTCTAATCCTAGCTGTGTGATCTTAAGAAAATGAGTTTACTTTTGTTTCTCATTTACTAAAGTGAAGAGGTTCTTAAACTTTAAGGTCATAGAATTTACCTATGAGATTTCTTAAAAATTCAAATTCAGTCTCTCCCTTGAAATTCTTACTTGATAGGTCCAAGATAAAATCTAAGAATCTGAGAGGCTCCGCGCCGCCAGCAGATCATCCACAGCGGCCACTTCATGGTGTCGTCGCCGCACCGGGAGCACCCGCCCAAGAAGGGCTACGATTTCGACACGGTCAACAAGCAGACGTGCCAGACCTACAGCTTCGGCAAGACCAGCTCCTGCCACCTGTCCATCGACGCCTCGCTCACCAAGCTCTTCGAGTGCATGACCCTGGCCTACAGGTATTTGCTTCGGATAACTTCTGCCTCGGGAACAGAACTTCTTTGGAGGAGCTGCAGTGCGGAGCAGCCCAGCCCTGCACAAAGCTCACGATAGGATCTCGGCAGAGTGGAGATTACTGCATTAGTAACTGGACTGGCTGGGGCTGTCTTAGGTGTCTGCTGCAGGCAGCGCAGACAAAGTTTCCTTGGAGATTCCAGAAACAGTATCAAGAGGAGTAGGAACGTTTCCCTCCCTCCCCCCCTTTTTTTTTGGAAAGCAGTGAGCCCCGAATATACCCAAGTTATACATTTACCTGAAGCTGAAACACTAGATATACATAGCTCCCGGTGGCATTTTCCCCCTCTGGAATAAATGATTAGTCAACTTGAAAAAAAAAAAAATAAATAAAATAAGCATTTTACATGATCCTGTTGTGGGTCATCTGTTGACCATATTCTGAGGAATACTTTACATTTTAGTTTTCACAGAACTTTGAAAACCTCATCAGCTTCCATTTGCAAAATTCTATTGATTATTAAATGTATATTTAAAATCTGTTATTTGAGCAATGATAAGCTGTTTAATTACCTGCCTCACTTAAAATGTGAGAATAAACATCCTAACTTGGGCCCAGTGTTTTCACAGCTACCATTATGGAAATGAAAGAAAAATTAGCTTCTCATGCACATCATTAATATCTGTTGATTAAAAAAACTGTACAATTAAAAAAATTCTCATCTTTGCACTATACTTTTATTCTCTGCTATGCAAAATGGAAATCAGTTGACATTATACAACCCACTCCGGTATTCCTGCCTGGGAAATCCCATGGACAGAGGAACCTGGCAGACTACAGTCCATGGGGTCGCAAAGAGTCAGATACAACTTAGAGACTAACAACAGCAAATAATTACTCCTACAGATCTGGGGGCCAGTCTTTAATAAGTTAAAAATTTGTACTTTCCACAGCCTAATATGTGAAAGTTTCATTCTCTGTGCTAGGGAAGCTATTTCTCATGACTCAGACGTATCTACTTCAAAGTTAATTTTAAGCAATGGACAGTGGAAATCATTAATTAAAACAAAGCTTGCACATTTAAGGTGCTAAGATTTTTAGATAAAACATTTTTAAATATGAGAAAATGGAGTTCAGTGACTTTTAACATTAAATAGTTCAAGTTCAGTGTCACCAGCATATCATCATAGATGGACTTTGGGTTAAGGATATATGATTTAATAATAATGTATCCAGAACTAAAGAATATTCACTTACAGGGGGTATTGTAATTTTTTTTTTCCTCAGATTTTTGCAGGCCACAGTTATAGCTTGTGGGCCATACAGAAACAGACCATGGGTCACTTTTGGCCCTCAGGTAGTAGTTTTAAGGTCCTTCTTTATTATAAAGGGCTTCCCTTGTGGATCAGCCGGTAAAGAATCCGCCTGCAATGCAGGATACCTGGGTTCGATCCCTGGGTCGGGAAGATTCCCTTGGAGAAGGGAAAGGTTACCCATTCCAATATTCTGGCCTGAAGAATTCCATGGACTGTATGACGACTGAGTGACCTTCACTTTCACTACTTTCACTTTTATTATAAAACCCCTCTTTATGATAAAAATGCTTGTCAACCTCGAAATAAGATTGGGTCCACGTTTTAAACATTGTGTTAGTAAATTTTAGTGTTAGTTCAGTTGCTCAGTCATGTCCGACTCTTTGCGACCCCATGAATCACAGCACGCCAGGCCTCCCTGTCCATCGCCAGCTTCTGGAGTTTACTCAAACTCATGTCCATCGAGTCGGTGATGCCATCCAGCCATCTCATCCTCTGTCGTCCCCTTCTCCTCCTGCCCCCAGCCCTTCCCAGCATCAGGGTCTTTTCCAATGCTAACTTTATTTTTGTTAGAGCAACTCTCTATTTGGCCACTTGATGGCAGCATTTACTACGTGTTAACATTGAACTTTTTTTTTTTTTCCCCTTCCCTAGGTTGTTCAGCCTCGTTTAACATTGGTAGTGGAAAAGATTGATAGCAATGCAAATGTATTTATAACCAAGAGAGATAGTCACCTTCCACCCCAATTAGCCTTTGCATTGATTTACTGAAGAAAAACATCTATTACTGAAAACAGTCTTACAGATTAGTGTTGCATTATTTTGTTACAGTTGAAATACGTAGGGAAAGTGATCTTGAAGAGGATACACCTTAGTCTAACCAAAAATGTATTTTCCCAATAGTTAAAAAAAAGATACATCATTGAGGATGCAGCTCTGGTTCAGAATACCATACCGCAATTTTTTCCCCCTTAAAGCTATCTGCTTAGTTATTCGAATATTTTCTAATAATGAGCTTGTGTCACATTTTAGATCTTTAAAAAGAGATTTATTCATGAACTGTTGCTTGGATAAAGCCATTGATCTACCAAAAAAGAAAAATCCCATTTCTCAATTTCTTTGTGAGAATATAATTATGGTTAGAACTAAAGTCTTTTTTTTTTTCTTTTTAGTGAAAATGCTTACTGCCTCCTGAAGTACATTTTTGTACCCTCTAAAGAGTGGAACTGCAATCGTGACTTTTTACTGCAAAGAAAAAATACCAGTAATGACTGGATAAACATCCTGGTAAGTACTTTCTAGGGAAGGTTTTCTAAGAGAATTCCCGTTTGAGATTTACATGGAGCACAAATTGATAGAGATTTACAAGGCAGTTACGATTTAGCACTTTTGGCTTGAAAGAAGAAAATAGTATTTTTGTTTTGTTTTAACCATTGCCTGTTTTCTCTTGGTTCCTTGTTTCTCTTAAAAAATCATGGCGTTTGGACAAGTTTGATAGGCATTTTGTTTTTCGAGCTTTTACCAGAGAAGATTCCCCATGTTATAATTCCTTGCCGTCTGGATTTATCTGTCAGAGTTAGGATAGGGTACTCAGTATTGTAAAGAGACTCTGCTGAGCCATCAGGATTGCAAAAATGACAAAAAAGTAACTTGGGAAGTTGTAGACGGATGGCGAGTTTATATAAATATCTTTGTGGGTGCATATAAATATTCTGGGGAGGCAATTCCAGCTCTGCTATTTTCACAAGCTCAACTCTATTTTCTGAGCTCTATGTATGTTTACTTACAATTGTACATTTCCTTCTGTTTATATACGCTTGGATATTCTGAGTCTATAAAAGGAGACTTAGGTTTCTCATACATTCTTCCTGTAGCTCATCTCATGCTAGTTTAAAATTAAAAGAAGATTCTATAGTAAAAGTAATGTAAAATTACTGAAAAAGCTTATAAAATATAGATATATAAAAAGTAAATAAAAACCTATATCTTACCATGCCTTTATTATTATAGTCATATATATGTAAGTATATCACAAATAAATACAAAAATATTATAGAAATTAGGTCATTCATTAGTCTTGTACAGGTTTTCACAACCTAGTCAGACACAGTTTCTACTGCTACACAATTCACTTATATGCCTTTTCTTTTTAACATAAGCATATAATCCTCATTTTCAGATTTATCATTATGAGATATGCTACTTGGTTTGGACCCATGGAAAAAGGACATTTAAATGATACCGCTGTAGTCCCCCACTGGGTCTGATTGCATACATAGGGGAATTCGTAAAGAGGACCCATCTCCAGACGGCCTCATGTTAACAGGGACATTTTCAAAATTGTGTAGGAAGTTAAGGTCTAGAGCTGACAGGCACAATTGCTGTGATGTTCAGTCTCGGATGAAATCAGTGTGGAAAAGAGAAAGAAAACAATAGCCCTGACAGATTTCCCAGTCTGCAAGCTTTGCTGTGTGTAAAGTGCTGTTCAGTTCTAGCCAGAAGTTGAGAAAGGAAGGAAGCGCTTAAGTGGCTGCGCTAGAGAGGGGCTGGTTGCCTTTCAGGAGAGCCTTGTTTTTCCTTTGTGCTCTGAGACCCTGAAAGCCCAGCACAGTGCTGTCTCCCTCACTGGTGCCAGCAGGTGCTGAGAACTGACTGCCCAGAAATGCCAACTGGAAATCAGAACAATCTCAACTGCAGCCCTCTTACCAATTACTTGATGAGCACACGTGCACGCATACGTGTGGGTGTTCTTGCATGGATGAATGCGTGTTCACACATGTTCCATGCATGCTGAGTTTTCTGGTTAATGTAGTTCCATCAAAACCTGGCCATAGGACCTTGGGTCAATGTTTTAGGCGTGACCCATCTCAGACAGTGTGTGGTCTCTGAATACAGGTACCCAGCCTGATTACAGTGAAGGCAGCTCCGTTATATTCAGCAGTGTCTCAGTTAAAGCAGAATAGAAGGGTTTCAGCAAAGAGAAGGAATCAGGTTGTGCTGCTGGTTTAGTCCGACTGTGAGTAGATAATGGTGAAGCAGTTGAGCACTCTTACCTGCTGTAACATTGTGGGAATCTCCCCAAACTATGAAGCAAACTTCTGGCAAGTTTGCTTAATGGTTTTGGTAAGCCCTGTAGCCAGATACCATTTCTGAGTTTAGAATAGTTGAATTCCATGTCAGATTTGTTTTTTGTTGTTTTGCTGTTTGCAAATGTCCAGCCCCCATGAAATCTTTGCATATTCAATAAAAAATTACCCAGAGAGTTGAAATTGGCATTGATTTTTAATTTATACAGAACTTATTACAAATATATATCAGTGTCAATTAAAACAGTTTCATTGCCTACAACATATAGGAAATCAAATTTCATAATTGCATTTACCATGTGGGCAGTAACACTGGTTTCAGAGTTTAAAGGTCATTGATAATTAGGCTCTGAGTTTAAATTGCAGTATTTTTTTTTCCTCTCCCTACTAGATTGCAAATGTGACAAAGAAACACTGGCACAACTTAGCATTTTCTAATAAAAGAAACATTGATGCTTGCTTTCTGTTTGCCTTCCTTCTTGCACCACGTCCTTCATAACTGCCAAGATAACTTGCAGGTAAATATTCAGTCAATGTTTGAACAATTAGAACAGTAGTACCAATTTGAGTAACAAAATACAAATGGGACCTTTGGCTTTGATTTACAGAAGTGACATGAATAAAAGAGTCAATTCTCATTTATTATCAAGTGGGAACTTAGTGTTCTCAAATTTGTCTGTCCTTGTTAAAATTTCTCTT